TGAAGAAGAGAGAGAGAGAGACCCATATAACAGACCTAGTTGCCTGCCTTTCCTAGCTAAGATCATTTTACATCAGACAACAGTGAGACTGGTCAAGATCAAAAGAACTACATAACTGGTCTCTGACTAACTGGTAGGCTCATGAGAAACTTCTTGGCAGTTTTCAGCTGTCAAGTTTGGGGATGGTTTATTACACAGCAATAGCTAAGCGATACTTGTATAATTCTCTGATTAAATTATTCTCTTTGGTGGCATTTTTTTAGTTTTCCTATTTAGTAATGACAGTAAGTATCTCATTCTTCTAATATTTTGTGTGTCACAATGAAAAACATATTCAGTAAAGGTCATTAAAAATATTCAGTAAATAGACATTTATTCATTCAACTATGTGCACAGTATTAGAAATTCCAAACAAAAAATGTTGATGAAATCAATCATGGTTTGGGGAAAAAAAAACATATGAGCAAATTACAACCATCTGTCATTGACCAGAACATCAGTGCATGACCATAATGGGGTGGGATCTGGGTAGAAAGATAGCCACTAGAGAGGATATATGGATATTAAAAACAAACCAACCAAAAAACCCCCAGAAATTTGTATATCTACTTGACTTTAGTACCTTTATCTGTATTTCAAGGATTCAAGGATAGAAATCTTTGAAATACAGATTTCAGGATAGATTTCTTTTCGGATATCTTCTAGCCCTGAAATACAACATTCTTGGAGTATTGTTTAGCCTAACACATGTGGTGAGTTCCCACTAAATATGGCATTTTATGTTTAAAGTGGTTTTTCAGAGAAATTGTTCTAAAGATGTTAATTCACATGTCATTCATTATGTGTGACAACAGAGGGGAATTTGATAGAAATATCCCACAGGATATTCTGGTCCCTGATTATCAGTATTGAAAGTGAAAAAAAAAAAGGTAACATAAAGACTCAAATCTTAAATCTTAAGTATGCATTGTGCTTGAATAGAGGAGCCTACAGCCTGTTAATTAAAATTAGGAAACTCAACAGACACATCCATTATTTTCTCTATTTTTAAGTGGTGCTACTGAATTCATTCTTTTTGCTATTTTGTATTTGCGATTATAAGATGCTGTCCTCTGCTGTTTGCTAAAGACGATACCGGGTAGAGTCACCAGCACACAGTGAAATAACGTGATAGTTCTGTTTCAGCACCCAAATGCCTACAAATCAGGGTAGTTAGAAGAAGCAGAATTCTGTGTCCACAGAACAAACCCTCCAGGTTAGCACAGTGCTCCTCTTCTCCCCAGTCATCTCATTTTAATGACATTTGTCCTGTCCTTGCTTTATGGTAATTAGATGGGCTAGTGGAAAGTGTGACAATGTAATCAATTCATTACTCATTAGCCCATTATTTCTTGAAAAGAGCTTTTTATTAAAAATTTTACTTGAATGCATACCCTGTATTTGTAGACAGCACATGACAACTTCAACAGAATAAATGCATTTATGTTGTTATTGAACAACAAGCTAATTTGTGTGTGTATTTGCGGGACAGCTTATTTGCTGCGACTCTCTTTGAGTAAGGCCATTCGGTGACAGATGTGACAATTCCATTCCCCCACAGGGTTACAGACTCATCTCTGGAATTCAGAGTTGACGAGGACAGCCTGCAAGCTCATGACTGTCCTCCATGTATGTCCCCTGTTTCCCAAACCTAGAAGTTACAGGAAAGTTGGAGGAATTGAAATGGAGAGATTTGTATTCAAAACTTGTCCGTCATCTACCAAGTGTGTGTGGCTTTAGCTTCACTTTCCCCATCTTCAAAATCTCTTAAAGGGCTGTTGTGAATTTTAGAGAAGGTGATGTATATGATAATTCAGGAAAGACCTACCCATACGATGCCCAATGATCACCGGTGGAGTCTGAAGGAAAAATGAAAGCAAAATGACTAATTCAAAGTCCTACACTGTGAATGGGCAGCTGAAGTGAGAAAGGAAATTGGAGCTGCTGAATGGAAAGACAGACAGAAAAGGGAAGCTTTTTCTTTTGCCTGTTGGCTAAATAGCACTGATCCTTTCCTGCTGCTTTATTTGATAGGTTAATTCATTCTGAAAGGCTTTAAAGAGGGCTGGTAGGTAAGCTAATAATCAACTGTGAAAAAGAAAGCATTGATTGGCCTTTCTCTTGCTGCCAAAGTCCCTAGAAAGAAAAAAATTTATTTCAAGTGGCTTCTAGCTTACTTCAGAATTAGAGGGTAGACTCCCTTGTATCTTTCTAGAGCTTCCAGTGAGTACAATGGTTTATTAGTTGGTAAATTGTTATTGACATACAATGGTAAGAATATCAATAGACAAATTAAAGTTATAGTCAACTGCCCATTAGTGTTTTAAATCCAGAAATACAGCACTCACTTAAAAACAGAAATATTACCTCTCAACAAATTCACACTTTGATGCAATTCATAACTACATGAAAGCTCTCCAAATAGATGAAGAAATTATAATAAATCAAAATCCATGTGTAAAGAAAAGTCTTTCTGTTGCAGGTACTGATATCTGAAATACATATTAGAGTATGTTTATAAGACCTAAGTAATGTATAGGTGTAATACTTTTTAAAATTTATTTTTAGCTTTAAATGAGGAAATATGTGTGTCCTATAAAAAGGAAAGGAAGAAAGAACATTTGGTATGAACTCGGATATACCTCTGATGTTCACTTAGTCAGTTTTCCTCCTTTTTGTTCAATGCTACTTCTCATGATGATTTGTCATATAAACTCAAATGTTAAGAATGTATTGTGCTTAAACAGAGTAACCTACAGCCTCTTTAAAACTGTTTTTAAACCAAGTACATACTCTGATCTCTGAAAAATAAAGAAAATTGCCGCAGACATTAATTATGCAGCTTAAAACAGAGAAATATTTCTTTGCCTTCTTCCCTAACATATATAATCTTTTACTGTATGAACTATCATTCCCTATTTTATTCTCTTCATATATCAAGGTTATATAGCTGCATGTCATAAAATACAAGTAATCTTAGCTTACATACAGAGCCTTAGGACGAGTATGTAGTGGAGAAAGAAACCAGCATAAATACATTATTAATAATGTTAATAAGAAGACCCAGTGGAATTGAAATGTGCCACCAGCCTCGCCCCTGCCCCCTCCTAACATGACCTGCTGGAAAAGCCCACAGCCGGAGCCAGGCATGTTGCGGTTGAGTTGTCAGACTGTCCTGGATGTCTTGTACAAACTCAACAGGCTAATTTACTGCAACAGTTGCAGAGGCTGAAGGCTCCTGTCTTGCCTCTCTGCGCTTCCCCCCGGAGAGATTATCCTGCTGGACAACAGGCTCCCTCCCTAGCAGCTGCGACTCCTAGGTTCCTTCCGATCGGCCCATCCTAGGTAATAACAGTACTGAGTTACTTTTACCCTGTGACCAGCCTGCTTGACGAGGCAGGGAAGAGGCTCCTGCCCTGCAAAAGGAAAGCAACAGCCTGGTGTGTTTGGTGAGATTTTTGAATTCTACTGGTAATTTGATTTCATTATCTTCTCCATTGTAGCTCCAGCTCCTGGCTTTCAGGATGAAAACAGGCAGGCTTTTAGGGCAAAAAAAAAAAAAAGAAAGAAGACAACTTCTCCCACACAGCCCCTGAGTTTCTTTGGCTATTACTAACCCAGGGAGCGTGGGGGTTGCTTTGAGACGCAGCTGTTCTGACTCTGCCCTCCAGGTGGCAGCGGTGCCCCACCGCAGAGGCTCCAAAGCCTGCGTCCCAGACCTCAAGTGTTAACGCAATTGACCAATCAGTGCTAAGATGATGGGAGGTAATTGGGTAATTGTATTTTACTGATCACAGGAAGGGAGAGGGGAAGGAACGGGGGGCAGAGGAGGGAAGGGGACTGCGGTCCGGGAGAAGATTGGGGAGCTAGGACCCTAAGCATCGGGACGTGGCTTTGGCCGAGGGAAAGCTTAGACTCAGAAGCTGCTGCCGGCACTGGGAGCGCATTTATTTATTTGGGGGAAAAGAAGGGAGAGAGGCGCGAGAGGGAGGGAAGAGAGTTCCAGCCGAAGTGGACGGACGGGGACCGGGGTTTCCGCCGCGCTGGGAGCCGAGGGTCCGGCGCTGGCACTGAGCTCGGCGCCGAGTAGCCGCGCTCCGGGAACCGTCTCCTCGCGGAGGACCAGCCGGCGTCGGGAAGGTCTGCGCCAAAAGGAACCAACTTGTGGCTCCCAAATGTACCCGACGCAGCTGGAAAGGAGATCAAAACTGCAGTTTCAGTCCGGGAGGATGAGAAGAGCCAGCGATTAGGGATTTATTTTTCACCCCATTTCCCGTTTTCTTCCCACATTATTTTTTTAAAATTTGCCTAACACCCCCGTTGATCCCCGCACTTCGCCCTCATTTGAAATAAAAGCCCAGTCTGAAGTTTTTTTCGCCGCGGCGCCCCCGGATCTGCTGCCCGCCGATGGAAGACGAGGGGACCCGAGGGCTGGCAGGGGCCGCCGGCGCGGGAGCGCGTCACGCGTCTCCCCCGTGATCCCGGGCCTGCTCCGGGAGTCCGGCAACACCTGGGGGAACCAGACCCGGTGCCGGGGTGGGGGCGGGGACAGAGGAAAGGAAAGCCACCCCGAACCTTCCAAAAAAAGAGAGAAAAGTATAAGGGGGAGGAATGGGTTTCTTCTTGACAGCTGACGGAGCCTTGAAATTTTTCTCCACTACCTCCGCCCCCGCCCCCACCCCCCGCACTCCATTTAACGTGAGATTATGAAATTGCAGAGGCGGTAGAGGAAAGGAGACAGGATATAACAGGGAGTTTGGAGGGAGAGGGGAAGGTGCCTGGCCGGGTGGCTGAAATCAAAAACCCAATTGCGCACTGGGTTGTGATGAGAAATCTAATCAGATCTTTGGAGAAGGGGCCGGCCAGAAGGGTGACTAGTCGGGGGAGTTGATCCCCAAATTCTTCCAAAGGGGGTAGAGGGGCTAGGGAGAAGAATTGACGATGTAAAAGGACACTTTTTTTTTTTTTTTTTTTTTTTTTGGTGGCGGTGGCGGTTGGGTGCCTTGCAAAAATGAAGGATGCGGGACGCAGCTCTCTTTTGGAACAGAACGCAGTGGATTGTGCAAGAGAGCAAGAAGAACGAACCTTTTTCTTGTGAGACCTGGATCTTAACACAAACGTGTATATGTGCACACTGGGAGCGTTGAAAAATGAAATAGACCAGTGTCAGGCCCGCGGGAGTTGGTGGGTTCTGACATAAATCAATAATAATAAAACAGCTGACCCCCCCCTCCCCAAAGGATGATTGGAAATGGAGAACCGAGGAGCCACAAAGAGAAAGTATGCTCATTTTTTTTCTATAAAGGAGAAAGTAAGCCAAGGAGATATTTTTGGAATGAAAAGTTCGGGGCTTTCTTAGGAAAGTAAAGACCCGATATGGTGGTGTTTTCGAGGAAATTAATAATACATCTGCAAAGAAATTTTGGAGAAGAAAAGTTGACCGCGGCAGAACGAGGCATTGATTGGGGGAGAGAAACCAGCAGAGCACAGTTGGATTTGTGCCTGTGTTGACTAAAATTGATGGATAATTGCAGCTGGATTTTTCATCAACCTCTTTTTTTCCCTTTTTTTGGGGGGGGTTTTCTTTTTCCTTTTTGGTGTCAAGATCATGCGTTCTTGCTTGTTCTTAACCACCTGGATTTCCATCTGGATGTTGCTGTAATCAGTCAGAAATACAGTGAGTGATCTATATTTTCTTATCTATTGGTAGAGAAAAAGGTCCATTAATTTAGCATTCCTAGTCCCATTATCCCCTCACCTTCATGAGTGTGGCTTTTAAAGACATCACTCTAGGGGGCCCAAGAAATAAGAGAGAAGGTGGCCCACGCATTTGCTCTGTCAGCCTGTGCTCAGGATAAGCTGGTTTGCTTTAATGATGCAGGTTGTCTGCATCCTGGACAAACGCCTTTGCAAAATGTTCATCAGGGAGGGCAGAAAATCTCAGGGAAGCCACTGCAATGTGGGGTGCGTGTGTATGTGACTGACACTCTGAATGCATTTAAGTTGCATGTCAGCCCCAGAGTTGGATGCACAAATGTTTAGCCATTGGAAATCGAATGGGCCTAATTTAAATTTCATTATCCAACCTGACACTGCAGATCAACGGAAAGTATTAACCTGAAAGTATGATAATAAAACCAGCAGATGAAGGATGGCTTCTGGCTCCTGGTGGACTGAGGGGGGGGGCGGGTATAGGGGACGAAGAGGTAGAGAGCCGTGGCTACACTTTCTCCAGTCTCTCTTGCATACGCATGCTCAGATGTGGACTCCAGACTGCCTAGATTCCTGCCACTGCTAAGAGGGAGAGAAGGAGGACCCACTTCGCTCCAATCCCACCTCCTAAATAACCACTTCTGTGGATCATAGAGGGACTGTACCTGGATGGTAGATGGCTTGGGCAGTTGGCTTGGGTTTTTGCCAGAAACCTTCTGGCAAATTGAGGGCTATTGAGAGAAAGTCAGGGACCGAGTACCCTGTGTGGTAACTTAGGTAGAGGAGATAAAGAAAAGGTCTGTGTTGAACACCAGTGCTTCTTGTGGGACAGCTTTGTCTTGGGGGAAAGAGGCCAATTAAGAAACATTAGAAGGGGTTGAATATGCTGGGAGAGCCTTCGGGCCTGGAGGACCCACCCCTCTTTCCCTCTCCGTCCTGCCTGGGTCATGGAGTTGGGTTCTTCTTTCTTTCCTTCTCTCTTATTCTCTCTTTCTTTCAACAAAACTCTGTCTCTTCATCCTCTTTATTCCTTTCTGGGTCCTTCCATCAGAATCATAGACTCACGTAACTTTACAGCTAGAAGACTTCTCAGAGATCTCACGCCAATAAATAAGGAAGCCCAGGCCCAGAGAGGCTGCAGTTCTTTGGGGAGGGCCAAACCATAGGAGACAGGTGACTCACACAGGCCTCAGAACAGCAGACTGAAGTAGGTTTGGGATCCAAACTGGATAGCAATCGGCCATACGTGGCGTGGCTCCTTCTGTCCCCACAGGTGCCATTTTCATCCAGAGGAGTCAAGGAAAGTACCTATCCGGAGAGTTTGAAATAAACTGCCATGCTGGACCGCAAGGCTAGCCCAGCGCCAGGATTCATATCCCTTTTGAGTTTTTGCTTTTTTTTTTTTAATGGCAAGCTCAGAAAACCCTAGTTTTAATATATATTTTTAAAAGACCCACAACTCTTGGCACATCCTGAGGGGATAAAAGGCAGCACTCCCCTGGGTCCCTTCTTGGTCCAGTGACTGGTGGTCCCTAGGGAGTCGTTAAAGCATCACGGGGCCAGATTTATATTCGGGAGGTGATAATAGAAACCAGAAACACTCTGCTAAAAGCATCTGAGCCTGTTCTTTCACTCACATCATCTACTCTTACCCTTTTCATTACTCCTTAACTAAACGAGCCTACAGCTGAACACTTCTCCACTTTATTTTTCTGGATACATGTTTCCTGTTGGGACATAGATCAGGCGGTACATTTACCAACTTTTGAAAAATAATCATGTAGGTCTTTTCCCCTCACAAGATCTCTGTAGGCAGCTGCATATCTTATTCTTGCTTGCAGGGTTTTTTTGTTTGTTTGGTTGGTTGGTTGGTTAGTTGTTTGTTTTGATCTCAGTTAAGTTACCACTGTGGTTGTAGATGGACTCAAGTTAAGCTCCTGTTCAGTAGCATCTCAGCACAACTGACAAAAGAGGGAAAAAATGAAAAAAATGTACCTTGGTATTTTTACTGCATACCCCGTTCAGCTCTGGGCTTTGTAGGAAGCCCAGCCTTGCAATCAGCTTGCCTCTGCCAATCAAGAGAGGTTGTTTTTCCTTTTCTTTTTCCTTTCATGTTGGACATTAAAGTGTCTTTCCAGCTACTCTGATTAAACCTCAAAGTGCATTCATTCCTCTCCTTCACTTTGTCACCCTCACTGTACCTTCCACATTTACATACACAGGCAAACTTTTCTGAATGAGAGGAGGGAAGGAGTTGGGGGAGGGGAGGATGAGAGATGGAAGGGATGAACGTCTTTAAAATTCTGTGCTGAAATGTTTCCTCCCGCCCACTTCCACTTAGGCATGTTCCTCAAATCTGGAGATGACGGTGCATCCAAGGCTATCATCGTTTTTCATCTGGTGAATCACTCATTTCCCCAGCACTTCATTTTGGGACACATTGCCCAGTTCAGGATTAGCTTCTTTGGTTTGGCAGACACAGTTGGCTCTGTGTTTTGGGCAACTTGTTCATGTACTGCTGAAAGGATGATGGCCGTGGGAGACCTGGACACTTGCCTCATGAGCTTATTTCAAAAACCGAAGTTGGTGCCTGCCCACTGAGTAACACTCATGAGCCCATAGTGGTATACTGGGGTTCTGGACCACAGGCCAGGAAGCAGCTGGGTTTTGCAAGTTGTGAAGTTCCCTCTTAAATATCTTTTCCTCTCATTTGTTTGACAGCTGTATCCTTTGGGCCACACCTGTAATTTCCCTGGCCCTCTGTTTTCTCATCCGTGGGATGGGAAAATGAACACCAAATTAAAATTCAGCTCCTTTGAGTTGTTTGGTGAACTCCATGTAATGCTATGCAAAGCCCCAGGCATAATAGTCCCTCTAAAGAGGGCTGTTTGTTATGGTTGTTCTAGGATTAATTTGGATTAATGTCCTGGGTATGAATACGGGCTGGCCAAACACTTTACCAGTTCTAGTGGCTACAACTGACCTTACAGGAGTTGCCAGATTCTTCTTTTCAGATCTTAGCAGGGCAGACTGGCTGCGACGTATCATTTCAGATTGAAAAGCTGCTGCAATCTAGAAGCTGAAAGTCAAGATTTTCTCCTTGAAGTATAGAAAAATAAATGTCAGCAAAGATAATACTTAAGTGAGAAATAATACTCTTATTGTGTTGATATTACTTTGGCCTAAGAGTTGCATATGGCAGATTTTATATATTAAAGAGGTAATGTTAGCTGCCCGTGGCATTGTCTGGACCTGGGATGCACAAAATAAGCACTGACTTCTAGGCAATAATACAATTTGAGTTAGATGGCATAAGATTCCATTACTACTATTAAGACTCTAATTTCACAATTTGGATTCATAGTCTTTCTAGTTAGAATGAATCCTGGGTTAAACATCTTCACTTTGTGACATGATAAAGTCCTGATAGTTTTCGGAATCAAGACTTTGCATGTAGCTGTAAGTATCATATTGTTTGCAGGTGCAGATCTTCCAACACCAACTTGAAAATGGTTTTCTGAGGCAGCTAGTCATGGTTTTTGCTCATGATTCCATTCTTCACAACTGTAGCTCTGTGTTTGGTCCATGTCCTCAATATGCTTCCAGTGACTTGTCCCTCCTTTGAGGGAAAAAGAGTCCTACTATTCTAATTGTGTTTATTCTTGATGTCATATCTGTAGGTTATAACTGGATAGTCTGAGTGAGGAGTTGCCCATTGGATATTTATCCTACTTACTTTAATTTTGGAGAAGTGTCCTAAAGTTAACCATCTTCACTGATCTTAGGGAGACATCATCCATGGAAGAAGGTCTAAATATGATAAATTTCACTTTTTTCATGTGCTTTCTAAATATGACTGAGAAATTTGGTGAACTTGGACTCTGGCTTTGAGTACTCAGCTTCCCAGTGAGTACTCAACTTTGAGTACTCAGCTTTCCAGTGAGTACTCAACTTTGAGTATTCAGCTTTCCAGTGAGTACTCAACTTTGAGTACTCAGCTTTCCAGTGAGTACTCAACTTTGAGTATTCAGCTTTCCCGAGTTTGAGTATTTAGCTTCCTATTGCGTCACGTATGTTGAGCGTACCATTTAACTGCTCTGATCTGCTGTGCGTATCTATTAGATAGAGGTTATAAACAACCACGTGGATGAAATCAGATTGCATATGTCAGGCAAAGAAGTCATTCAGTGATGTACATTTAAACAGGGCATCTCTGATTTTAGTTTAGGTAATGCACAGTTTGCAAAAAATAAACATGGCCTTGTTTGAAGGAAGCTATTAATCTAAAATCACGTTGGTATAGAGTAACAAAGGAAAATGCATAAATAAGATTAAGGTTGGAGTAATGCAAATAGAGGCAACCATTTTTGCCATTTTTGGTAAGGCCTTACACTTTTAAAATACTTGGAAGTGCTTTATTGAATCCCTTGGGAAAGATTGAAATAAACTTTGGGAATTGTGGAAAATATACTCTGTGTCCATATAATGTTTTGTTAGATTGTCAAGTATTTTCCAATATAAGCATACAAAAAATTAATGATTTGTAAATGGTATCTTGGAAAACTCTCTGAGGGGATCAAGAACCTCTTGCATCCTCCTTCAAAATGATTTTTATGGAGCAATATCTATTTGACAGTTGAAAGTTTGTTGTGCAAATCTTGTGGGTAAGACAGGGTGCACGGAACACTCTCTGAGGGCAGTCATTGCACTTGTTCTCTGGCGTGTCCTCAACCCCGCAGACAAATGCCTGAGAAGTAGTGTACTGGAGATAAATACTCCTGGACTGACTAATTGAACTTACTTTAAGAGGCATTTCCTCCCAAAGACTCAAATGCACGTACATACCTATGCAACTTGTAGAAGCTTAATGAGAAATCCTAATAAGTATATGAACACTATGTCTGTGTGTGTACACATATGACATCACATACAGATATTAAATGCCATTGAATGGTTTCCTTATGT